TTTTATATTCTTATTGTTCAATTATTAAATAGTATGTAATTTTGTGACATAGATTGCGGATGCCAAAAAAATTAGTAATTAGGCTTATTGAGCATTAGAAATAAATATTTAAAACTAATGATATGTGCAAAGGGTAGTATAAATTGATAACTTAGTTTGCAAAAATGAATTTAAATGAGTTTATAAAAAGTTAAAATAAATGGCTTATAAATGGGTAATTGGATTATCCAATTCATTTTTGGACTTACTCATTTATAACCATCTAATTAAATGGGTATTAATGGTTTGACTCACTTATACCTATTACCCATTTTAACGAAACCAAACCCGCCCAAGTCACCTATTTTGACACCTCTAGTGGCAGGGAAGTTAGGAGAAGCTGCGGGAGACAACCGTCATGCCAATTGATTGACGGTCATTCTAGATTTCTTATTTGGTTTTCCAATTTTTTTATTTTTTAATTTTTGGTCTTGAGAATTTTGGTTAAAATGTCTTTCATTGATTTTAACATTTCATAAGAGGAAAGTTAAGATTTTTTTTGTGGTGTATAAATACAACGAAGAAACATAACTATAGGTGCATTTTTTGTTGGAAAACTTGAAAGTGGCAATTATTGGATCGGAGATGAATTACGATGTCGAGAATGCGTTAGTCTAGAGGTTAAAATTGAGATTCCATGAATCAGAAATGTTCGTTAAATTTCTCCTCTCCCCAATTGAAAGATGTTAAAAACAAAAGAGATATATTATGAAATTTTCTATTGGGAGTTGTTTTTAGAAAATTGGCATAAGATTATAAAGATCAGCAGTGGGCTGGATCCTAGCAAGAATTCCAAGAGATTTTTGTGAAACAAGTATTTAATTTTAATCTAGTGTTTTTTTTTTGTAACAAAGTATTTAATCCAACTAAGAGTCTATAAATGTTGAGTATATGCAATGAAGAGAGATATATGGGACCTTAAGGGGTCGTCATAGGGGTGGTATGAGTCGAATACCTATCTCATGCACCATTTGACTAACCCATCCCACATCTTACGGATCAGCCATTTTTTGAGTCTTATCTACCCCGCATATCAGCAAGTATCTGATTACCTAGGATCGGATCAACGGATACCCATCTCAACCCGTTTATCATTTAATTTTTTTAAAAAATGATCTCTACTAATTTTATTTTATATTTTATATATTCATTTAAGATTTAATAAAGATTTTTTCTCAAAAAAATTATCCCACCAAGAAACGAACATGCAAAGAGAATACAAGAAAAAGGAAAAAAAATTAAAAGAATTCAAAATGAATAAAAATTTGAAATAAGTAGCACTTTTTTTAGATATATATTGCACATTAACTAAACTCTTTTCTAAAAAACATAAGATTATGATGTCTACAAATAAATCTTATAAAAAAACAATAATCTCCTATATTTGTAATACAATTTGCTCAATAAAATTGCTTATTTAGCTCTAAAAATATTATTTTATAGTATGTGTACAAAAATTAAAAATTTAAAATAAATAAATAAATATATATATGTATATATATGTATGCGGGATAAGTCAAGTATTTGAGGATTTTCAATTATGTGATCCTAACCTGCCTGGAATCTAATCGGGTACTTGACCCTATTCTAACGTGATCAAATAATACGAATCGGAAACCTAATTTTCGGATCGAATTGGATTGGATATGGAAAGTTTTCGAGTTAACAAATATTTTTACCCACCCCTATCTTGTGGCCCGTGGGTACAATATTTCTTATGCTTTTTTTTAATGCAATATTCTTATATTTAGTTTGCAAATAAGCTCAATGGAGAAAATTTTGAGAATAAAGTCGAAGTGTCCCTGCTTGGGTATAGGTATGGGATTCAAAATCCCTTGCCTACATTTTCCATCTAGGACTTCTAAAACATTTTCGGAGATAGTTTAGTTCTTTTTTGAATTTTCAATAACTTAGTTATGTCCATTCTCATTCCCCAATATTTTTTAAAAAAAGAAAAAAGTGTCCCAACCAAACACATGATCAAGGCAGTATTGGATTTCTATCCTAGCAAGTACATCAGGTAGTTCAACGAGAATGGATTTGGGAATTATTTCCTGAAATCTTTAGTCCCGAGTAAGCTTGTCAACGGGTCGTGTTCAGATTGAAATTGAAAATTTTGGATTTGGACCCGTTTTAATGTACTAGCCTCGAACCTGACTCGTATACCCGACGAATCTTGTGCTTAAGATTCTAGAACCAGATTCGACGGGTCACGGGTCAGGTTCGGGTCTATCTGGAAAGAAATTGTCCAACATGTATCATTCATTTTCTTTTATCCATGTTAGCAAAAAGGCCTAACATGATTTCAAAATATTTAGTAAAAAGCACTTATATGCAACTTGTGATGAATACATTTCTGGTCAAACAAGTTTGCCTCTTCCAAATCCTAATTTCTTAAATGTTTCATCTAGGATACGGATAATTCGGTTAATTTGTTAAAAGAATACTTTTGTTAATATAGTAAAAGAATATATTTAGAAATATTTATATTTTATAATTATTAATGTATTTTTTGGGTTCGAGTCGGATACGGGTCGGAATCCTATATTTCGTATTTGACCCGCTTTTTTTAGAAAAAACGGGTACTGGTTCAGGTCCGGGTACCGCAATTATTTCTCAACCCACATCGGAAAAATTTTACTAGATCCGGGCCGAGTTCGGTTTTGACAGCTCTAGTCCCGAGTCCTTGACACAGATTCTGTGAATCAAAAAGGTGAATTAATCTAAGATGCGTGCAAGTTAGATAGAAAGCATATTATATAGCAATGACAATAAAAGGCTAAATAGATAATATTAGTAGTCAATATTAACTACTACAAATCTCCATTTTGTAAACCTAGTTGTAATTTCAAAACGTTGGACTTCGGTTCTGTAACTAGTTTTCTTGTGGAAAACCTGTTTTGGAATCTTAACAAGAAGTCAGAAAAAAGACCAAATTGTCTCATTTTCTTCATGAATTCTATGTATCTTTTATTATGGGCAATACTACCTTGTTACACTTGAAAGAGAGTTCTATGTATCAAGTGACTCTTTAGATCAATGGAAAATTAACATGCTTCCAACTCTAAATAAGCTAGAAACTGAAGCAAATCCTAAGCTAACCTAATAATCATTAAAATGGTATAAACTCCACACCAGCAACAGATTGCTAAAAGCTCTTATTACATCATCTGAGAAATCCCTAAAAAGAAATCCCTACTTATGATTTCCTTATACAATTCGAGTATAGGAAACTCCTAATTATTGGAAATGACCAACAAATAAATCAATTAAGTCATGATTCTCACGAATGACGTGTTTCTTTCACTTCTTAGTGTTGTTGTCACCAACTCCAAGTGTGTTCTTCACACCATCAATAGCACCCTGAGCCATGCTCTTCACTTGCTCGCCAGTCTGAAATAAAAAAGAAGTAACAATAATAAGAAGATAACAAATAATTGAGTGTCAAGAAAAAGAATTTTAATCCTGAATTCTTCTTGGACAAAACAGTAAAAGTTGAAAACCTGTTGAAGGAATCCGGCACTCTGATCTGCAGCCTGGGCAGATCGGTCACGGGCTGCATTTGCTGCATCCTTGCATGAATCAACCAACTGCTCCGTCTTGGCCTGCGTATAAAAACTTGTTAGTAATAATCTTGGGATAGAGAGTCCTACTAATGAGTCTTCAGGAATTTGTCCCAAATCAAGAATTTTCATTTTCTTATACTTGATGATTGATATGATATCTTGAAAATAGAAACATACATCAGCTATATATGATGATCTGGCTATATACGGTGATTTGGCTATATGTCAACTGCAATGTCTATGGATAGCCAAATCATTACAAACAGGACTAGGCCATGAAATTTGCAGCAACAGCATGAAATGAATGGTAATTGCTTACACTTAAATAGAAGAGGTTTAATCACCTGAGTTTTGCCATGGGTTTCGCCTGCATTAAACTGAGTGCTCGACATTTTTCTTAAAGATGAAATGAAGTGATTAAATCGTTTGATATCTTTGTAACTAAAACTAAAAGTTCTGCATTTTTGCTTGAATTAAGGTCTTGAATTTATAGTAGAACATGATTGCCTTTTGAGCTATAAGGTAATGGCACGTAGGAATAGCAAGTTGTTAGGTGTTGCATACTCTGCATTTGACCTGGACAATGGGCTTGTTTCATGTGGCTGTGGAACTTGAACAAGTTCTGTGAAATTGCCATCCCAGTGTTTTTTTTGGTTAATTACTTGGTCAATTCAAGTTATTAGTGAAGTGAAGCTGTGAAAGCCAACGTAACAACGGAAGTTGAGCTGCAAATTAGGAGGAACACACACACACGCCAATATGCAATAAATAGAATAATTTTAGGATCCATTTAGGTGTATCCTCTAATAAATTGATTGATTAACAAAAAGAAAAGGTTGATTAATGTCATTTATTTTTTGCAAGACTAGCAAGAGATATGTTTAACTATGTTATCGCTCGTTTAAATGGCCCAAAAAGTATTTATTTGGATGGAAGATTATTTGAAAAATTATTTAAAGTAGTATTATAACATTTTTTATGATGTGATATATGTAAAGTGGAAAGGTACTTACAAATATTAAAAAAAAATTGATTGAAAAATATATTTGTGATGCTTTTTTTTTTTTTTTTGCAAAAAGAATGTGTATTCATATTCAAACAAATCCACCTGACATAACCATGAATCATGACAACAGGCCCAAAAGGCTAATCTTTAATACAAGCCAAAAAAGGTGACGATTAAGAAAAAAGAAAATACAGACCGAAAAATTGAAAAAAAAAACCAGTGATCATGATAATAGGCCCAAAAAGAATACAAGAAATAACTTTTTAACCACGAGGATATATGTTGGGAAAATGCTCAACCTTTAACATTTACACCCTTTTTTTTCCTTGATTAATTACGCTTATGACTAGTGAAGAAAGTAACAAAAGGAAGAGGCTTATGAATCCTCCTAGCCCAAAATATAGAACTTGAACCCAACAGTCAGGCAAGTCAAACAATGTGTGAATAAGTGCAACAAGATTTAACTGGTCTAATGTCTTGATATTTCTCTCTCATCCTTCTTCCTCTTCCTGTGCATGAACAAAACAATGGTACCAAAATACACTGCATTAAAATGAATACTTTTATTGCTTCTCCTTCTCTGATCGTTCAATACGCCATATGTTAACATTTGGACTTAAAATATCAATTTTCTCTCTAAATCAAAGAATTATATATTGATTGGCATTACGACTATACAAAGTACAAGCAGTAATCTTCCTTTCAAGTTCAGTTATCGAAGTTTTATCTGGTTAGAAGTTCAATGAGGATGAAGAGAAGATATGTAGAACAAAGACATTACCCTGCAGGAACAAGCATTAAATCTGTCCGGAGGTCCTTCCATCTAGCCTAGACAATTAAGCAAGTCAGCTAATGAACTGCAAAGCCATGCATAACTAACTAAATTGATTTGCATAACCAAATTACTAACTTGTTCTGTTCCCCTGAAGGCAACAACTAATCTTTTCCTAGCTGAATCACGCCAAAGTGCTACCTGCATGGGAACATAACTATCAGTTTGACTTCAGTAGGTTTGACTATATTGGTTTATAAGTGCACGCATTTATCTATGTGTCTAGACTACTAAACAATATCCTACACTGGAATATTGACTTGCCTGTGTGTCTGTTGATGGGTTATCCAAGAAACATATTTTTTCAAATTCAGACTTGATAAAGCTTGGGTGACCCAACGAAGTGGCCAGCATTGCCCAAGCCTCCATTGCACTCTCTGCTGTTGAAAAAAGTGCCCTCATCTCCTCAGCTTTCTCCTCATCCAACACTAATCCATCTGGTGGACTTGCAGATGGTTCACTAGATTCTGTTGAAGCATCTGTTTTGTCATCTTGTTTTCCTAGCAAGCCTGACCTTTTACTTATTTCAGAAACTGTGGCATTAAGAACCATTAATGCTCCCAATACAGCATCAGTTTGTTGTAACAAATCTTGAGTCACCTTCTTCATATTTGAAAAAGATGACTGATCAGTGTCTGGAGAAATTGGTCCAGTGTTTGCATCACCATTACCACTTTCCAGATTTTCAGGAGTGGCAAGTCCAGATTCAATATAACCTGCCTCTGCAATTTTTCGTGATTGTAAACCAATTTTGTTTAATAAATCAAATGTATCCCATCTTATTATGTTGGGAGCAGGGAGACCAAGTTTCTGAACAACATTCTGATTGACTGTTTCAGTAAGTTTGTGCCAGAATTGTTTATCTGATTCTAAGGTCTCGCCAACTTGATCGATGGTTAAAGAGTTCTTGCCATCATCCACACCACTATTTTCTGTATTATTTCCTGTTTCATTTTCAACTACCTCGTCAGTTCTATCATTTGAAGAAAACTCTGAACGGCTCTCCGGTTGAGGAGTCATGTCTGACTCTGCAGAAGGATCACTAATATATCTGTTGCCAACTCTGCTGTTTGAAAACCAATTATTAGGAAGGTACTCATTGTTCAGTGACTTTATCTGACCAAAAGCAAATTCCACAAACTGGCGGGCTTGCACAGTCTCAGAGCCAAAAACTTTTTTCACAGCATTTTCAATTCCATATTTCTCAAGAAACTCAGTGACAATGGGGATCCTCCACCATTGCTTTTCCTCATCAATTTTCTCAAAACTTTTGTACCTAATCTGAGCACAGAAAAGCAAGATCACATGTTTTACGGGAGGCTTTTTATAGATTTACAAAAAAATAAATAAAAAAAAAACACACACACACAAAGCAATTCGTGCATCAATTCTAGAGTAACAAATAGAATGTAAATTATTGCCAAACCTGATTAATGTATAACTAACTAATAAAACCATTAGATGTAGTTTCAGGAAATTAATTTCCAGAAAATCTGAGAATGTTTTGCTCAATCTCAAAGTATGTACATCTCCTAAACGTTCTTGTCAGTGCCTAGCTTGTACTATGATTCTCCTACACTAAATGAGAAGTGCCTCCCAAGGTACTTAAGATTTTTATAACAACTCTCTGTTTCTCTATCCCTTCCCCCCCTTCACATCATCATCTTCCTTTCCTTCTTTTTCTTCCTCTTCTGGCAATGGACCAGGGTAGAGACATCAAAGAACATATAAGAATAAAAATCTGTTGCTGAAAAGTTTAGTAATCTCAATGAATCAGTCCAACTTAGGATTTCTAAGCTGAAATCACAATGGCCTATTCAAGAAAAAATTATCTTACTTTCACCCAGTAAGGTTGTTCCGTGTCTGTTAGTGCAGATAGAGCAATATTCCCAGTCCTTCTATTAGTGGATCAAACGGTGCCATGAAATGATTGTAGAGTCTACATGTAATTGGTTTGTTATCAGGAAGAGGTATTTAAGATACAATGAGTGTGTGGTTTGGACGAGAAAAAAGACAAAGAAATCCCAAAGACAGAGAGGGAGATGAAGAGCCGTCAGCCATTGTCTTCTTGCACACAGAAGATTGAGGCTCATTATGCAATATTTTTGTATCCAGTACCTCAAAAGATATAAAATAAAATTAAATCCTCCACCAAGAAACAAACCTCAAGTTCTATCTGTCCACCACCTCCCATTCCTTCCAAATCAATCAGCACCTCATGCAGATCTCCTACAAAGAGATATGCTTGTTATTTTGCTACTCTGGTTTAAATTTTAGCCCCTGAATCTAAGATGTATAATGTTTAAAATCACATAGGCATCAATAACCATTAATAATTAAACTTAAAATGATATGGATAATGGGTTGTTCATGTGGATGGAATATAGATAGGCGTGACTGAATTTTTGTATAGCTTCCCTCAGCAACAGGAATAAACTGATTGCTGGCTGAAGGAAAGCTGATCAATGCTAGACAACTGACCGACATTGATGTGTTATCACATGGGTTTTGACAATCGTTAGATGCTGATCAAGCATGACTTGCATTGAAATCTTACCATCAAAGAGCGAGTCCAAATTAATGCCAGAATTTCCCATGCGCTTGTGAGGAGTCACAATATTTGCATCCCAAGCTGCGATCTGAACTTTAAATGAACATATCAGCGAGTAAGAGGCAAAGTTCAGAACAAATATGCTCATCCCTCTGAATTTGAGGAGTGATCATATCAACTGAATGAAAGCACAAATAGGATGCATACATAAATCATGAGATTTGTTCTATAGATTGTCTCAATTTTTCTATTCAACACTTTGGCAGCTGCCTGTACTGCACATCATGATATCTACATTAACATTTCTATATAACTTTTACTGTATTTGTTAATTTAGTTTTTTCTGTCAACATCTCAAACCAATCCTAAAAAGAAAATTAAATGGATTGTAAAATTTAGGATCTCAAGGAACTGCATGGGACAATGAAAAGAAGATTCCCAAAGACTTCATTACAAACCTGAAGTATCTGGTTTGGCAACTGCTTGATATTTAGAGCAAATTCCTCATTCCATGTTGGTTCTTTAGTCCTGCCAATATTCATAACTGAACTCTGCAGTTCTGAGAATAATTGACAACAGAAGAAATTCCAACATGTGGAGAGATAACCTAAAAGTAGATAAAGAACTAAACATACATAATAAAAAAGATTTAACTATGTTTGAACCAAGTGAAGCCAAATCATACAATCTCCATTGAGGTTTCGTTGTCTCTGTTGAGACACTTAAAGGATTAATAGGTGAATGAATCTTGAATGCAGTATCTTCAACAGCAGATAGCAGAAACAAAATCTGATGTTAATAAAATAACAGCGAAGAATCAAAGAAGGATATAATTGCATCACTGTTACTTCAGTCTATGTTGTCCCAGCTATGATTATTCACAAGAAATACATTAAAACACAAAAACTATAAGCTCCAGAACGGCTTATATTCATGTTATGTTCTTTTTTCTGTCAATCAGCATTCTATCACTTCACATAAACCAAAAGTTAATTAACTGAGATATAACCTCAGATGCATGCCTCAAGTTTGAAAAAAACAAACGGTCATTTTTACATGGACAGTTTCTTAAGAATCTGTAACAGAACTTCGAAGCTTACCCCCATTTTGTCTTACTTTTTACAACCTGACTATCCAGTTGAATGACCACATATGGATCACTTGTTCCCTGACAGGAAATGTAGGTAATATATCACTGAAAGAAGAAAGTCTTATGGGTGATAACTGTTTTTCATTTGGCAAGAGATTGCCAAAAGAGATAGAGAAGTTCAACCACAGCTAGAAAAGGAGTTCTGAGGGCAAGCAACCTACCCATGGATCCATAGCAGGAAGGTTGATCCCCTTCTTTAGCTTTATGAACAACTGACCATCATAAATCTCTCGCATAAAAGACCTGAAAATGTTCATCAGTCCTTACATATCGATAAAGAAACTTATAACATTGACTTAAAAAGCTTTTTGCCTAAAGAGGGAAACTAGTAAGCTATCTTGATCAAGTATATTAAAGGAGTATAATTACAGAAACCCTTTATATTGAAGTAATAGGATCTGTCAAAATGGTCCCAACAACTTGAAGGAACATCGGCAGATTTGAGCACAGCTTCTCTGCTTTGTTAGTGCTCTTTTCTAGATGCACTCTTAGGCTTTACTAACAATGGTGGAAGAGGCATTTTCAGCCTACTACAGAACCAAATGGTCAGCATTGCCATGGTTCCTGGGATTAAAAGAATATGCTCCAGAGCAATTGAACTACAGCCCAATAATGGGTGCCAAGCATTGCTACAGGGAAGATACATGGGCAAAGCCAAAGTAGGGGACTTAAATCTAAGTCAACAATGTTAAGTGTGCATGAGATAAAGTGCAAAGACATGGCTAAGCAATTAACAAGAGAACAAAAGAGAAATCAATAGTTAAGAATATCCAGAACTCAAAGAACTATTTCTTCACCCCATCCAAAGTGATCTTTCTTAGTTGGTTGTAATATTAATGACTCATGACTAGTCGTAGGGTAAGTTTTAACTGAATGAGATGACTACATACTTTGAAAGAAAAACTGTCTGACAATTTGCTCCGTCCACCTCACGCTTTCCAATATTTTCCTGATTTGAAAGGAATCGCATAACAGTTAAAATCAAATCATACACATCAAACAGAAACTTGAAATTTCAAAGATTATCTTTTTTCTTGGTTAAATCCTTTCTGCAAATTTGGTCTTTGCTACTTACAAACTCATTCTTACAACACAGAGACAATTGTGCAACTACATTTGTACACAATTCACCTTCATTAGTTCGGGGGAGCATCTTAATTGTATTAGTAGAATTGGTTTCTCCTTTATATCTTCTCTTGCCCCTCTCATCAGCCACATTAATTTAAACATCAAATTCATAGTTGTGCCATCAGACATATATCTACTTAAAAGTAGAAATTAACTGCCTTGTTTTCGTTGCAATGGTATAAGATAAATTGATTCTTAGTTAAAAAGACAGATTTTTTCTAACAACATTGGAATTTGAAGCACGAACAACATTAACTGATCCCATTTGGTTCATTCTAACAACAATCAAAGGAACAATAACCACTAAACACATGAATAAAATAGATAAAGCTGAGAACTTTACAGGTGGAGTATAATAAGCTTCAAAAGCAAAGCCAGCAAGAATAACAGCCAAGTTGATATCAAAAGGAGGCCTTTCATTTTCACTGTCAGACTCCTGCTCTTTAGCTAAAAGGGTCTCATTTTCTGCATTTCCCTTGCTAAAGCAACACAACAAGTGGGGCCCGTTAACGGAGTTCGCTCTAAAATAGCTTGAATCCAAGAACCCAGATATTCTCTTGTGAAATAAAAGCTTTCTTGAATACGAAAGTGAAACGGGATTCTTGAAATGGAGCAGTTTTGGCCCTTTTGGGGTGTGAGCAGAATGAAGGAAGTAAAGGTGCAGTTGAAGAGCTGCCATTGAAGATTGGGTGAGGGTTCAAGAATTTTCTTTTTCCGCCTTCTTGTTTCCTCAATAAAGGGGTTTTCACTTTTCAAGAATTTTGCCTTTAGAAGGCAATAGAATTTAGCTTGAGATTTGGTAGTAAGAAGGTGGAGTTCGGTGGCGTATTATTGGATGGTGGCAGGGAAGCTAGGAGAAGCCGCGGGAGACAGTTGATTAACGGTCATTCTAGATTTCTGATTTGGTTTTCTATTTTTTATTTTTTATTTTTTATTTTTTATTTTTTATTTTTTATTTTTTGACTTGAGAATTTTGGTTTAGATGTCTTTCATTAATTTTAACATTTCATAAGAGGAAAATTAAGATTTTTTTTTTGTGGTGTATAAATACAACTAAAGAAACATCACTATAGGTGTGTTTTTTGTTGGAAAACTTGAAAGTGACAATTATTGGATCGGAGATGAATTATGATGTCAAGAATGTGTTAGTCTAGTGGCTAAAATTGAAATTTCATTAATAAAAAATATTTGTTAAATTTCACCTCTCCCCAGTTGAAAGATTTTAAAAACAAAAGAGATGAATTATGAAATTTTCTATTGAGAGTTGTTTTTAGAATATTGGCATAAGATTATAAAGATCAGCAATGTGCAGGATCCTAGCACGAATTCCAGGAGATTTTTGTGAAACAGTATTTAATTTTAATCTAGTGTTTTTTTTGTAATAAAGTATTTAATCTAGCTTCTTTTTTTCCGGCTACGATAACTATTTGTATAACATAATCTATCCTACACTAGGGGGAGGGGGCAGACCTAAAGAGACTCAGGAATAATCCGGAGGGGACTGAACCACTGTCGAACCAAACGGGTGCACGTTTGGATTTTTCAAGCAAAGCCACTCTTTTTTAATGTGGCAAATTGGTAGGCCCCATCAAGCTTTTTAAAGCTTTGGTGGTGGGCACTGGTGGTATAATCTAGCTAGGAGTCTATAAATGTTCAGTGTCTGCAATGAAGAGAGATATATGGGACCTTATGGAGTCATGGTAAGGGCGGACATGGTTCGGATACCTACCCCGTGCACCATTTGGCTTACCCACCTCGCATCTTACGAGTCAGCCATTTTTTTGTCCTTATTCGCCCCACATATCAGCGAGTACCTAATTAGATAGGATCAAGTCAATAGATACTCGTTCTATCCGACTTATCATTTAATTTTTCATAAAAAATGATCTATACTAATTTAATTTTATATTTTACATATTCATCTAAAATTTAATAAAGATTTTTTCTCAAAAAATTATCCCACCAAGAAACAAACATGCGAAGAGAATACAAGAAAAAAGAAAAAAAAAAAAAGAATTCAAAATCAATAAAAATTTGAAATAAGTAGTACCTTTTTTTAGATATATATTCCACATTAACTAAACTCTTTTCTAAAAAACATATGATCATGACCTCTATAAATGAATATTGTAAACAAACTATAATCTCCTATATTTGTAATACTATTTGCTCAATGAAATTGCTTATTTAACTCTAAAAACATTATTTTATAGTACGTGAATAAAAATTTAAAATAATATATATATGTGTGTGTGTGCGCGCTAGACAAGTCAAGTATTCGCGAATTTTCAATTATATGACCCTAACCCGCCTAGAATCTAATTGGGTATTCGACCCTCTTTTGAAACCATCAAATAATACAGATCGAATATTCTAATTTTCGGATCGAATTGGATCAAATATAGTTGGTTTTTGAGTTGACAAGTATTTTTGTTCACCCCTATCTTGTGGCCCATGGGTACAATATTTCTTATGCATTTTTTTAATGCAATATTTGTTATATTTAGTTTGCAAATAAGCTCAATGGAAAAAATTTTGAGCCAAAAGTCAAAGTGTCCCTTCTTGGGTATTGGTATGAAATTCAAAATCCCTTGCTTATATTTTTCCTTCAGGACTTCTAAAACATTTTTGGAGATAGTTTAGTCCTTTTTGAATTTTCAATAATTTAGTTAGATCCATTCCCATTCCCCAACATATACACAGGACCAGTTATAAAATGTTGCATTTTAAAAAAAAAAATGTCCAAACCAAACACATGATCAAGGTAGTATCGAATTTCTGTCCTAGCAAGTACATCGAGTAGTTCAACGAGAATGGATTTGGAAATTATTTCCTGAAATCTTCGGTCCCGAGTAGGCCTATCAATGAGTCGGGTTCGGATCGAAATTGAAAATTTCAGATCCAGACCCATTTTAATGTACTAGCCTCGGACCCGACTCGTATACCAGATGGGTCTTGTGCTTAAGATTCCAGAACCAGATTCGATGGGTCGCGGGTCGGGTCCAGATCTATCTGGAAAGAAAATGTCTAACATGTATAATTCATTTTTTTTTTATCCATGTTAGCAAAAAGGCCTAACATGATCTCAAAATATTTAGCAAAAAGCACTTATATGCAACTTGTGATAAATACATTTCTGGTCAAACAAGTTTGCCTCTACCAAATCCTAATTTCTTAGATGTTTCATCAAGGATACGGGTAATTTGGTTAATTTGGTAAAAGAATACTTTTGTTAATTTAGTAAAAGAATATATTTAGAAATATTTATATTTTATAATTATTAATGTATGGTTTGGGTCCGAGTCCGATAAGGGTCGGAATCCTATATTTCGTATTCGACCCATTTTTTTTTAGAGTAAACGGGTACTAGTCCAAATCCGAGTACTGGAATTATTTCTCAACCCATACCCGGAAAAATTTACCAAAATCGGGCCGAATTCGGTTTTGACAACCCTAGTCCCGAGTCCTTGGCACAAATTCTGTGAATCAAAAAGGTAAATTATCCTAAGATGCGTGCAAGTTAGATAGAAAGCATATTATATAGCAATGACAATGAAAGGGTAAATAGATAATATTAGTAGTCAATATTAACTACTACAAATCTCCATTTTGCAAACCTAGCTGTAATTTCAAAACGTTGGACTTCGGTTCTGTAACTAGTCTTCTTGTGGAAAACCTGTTTTGGAATCTTAACAAGAAGTCAGAAAAAAGACCAATTGTCTCATTTTCTTCATGAATTCTATATATCTTTTATTATGGTCAATACTACCTTGTTACACTTGAAAGAGAGTTCTATGTATCAAGAGACTCTTCAGATCAATGGAAAATTAACATGCTTCCAACTCTAAATAAGCTAGAAACTGAAGCAAATCCTAAGCTAACCTAAAAATCATCAAAATGGTATAAACTCCACACTAGCAACAAATTGCTAAAAGCTCTTATTACATCATCTGAGAAATCCCTAAAAAGAAACCCCTACTTATGATTTCCTTATACCATTCGAGTATAGGAAACTCCTAATTATTGGAAATGACCAACAAATAAATCAACCAAGTCATGATTCTCACGAATGACGTGTTTCTTTCACTTCTTAGTGTTGTTGTCACCAACTCCAAGTGTGTTCTTCACACCATCAATAGCTCCCTGAGCCATGCTCTTCACTTGCTCGCCAGTCTGAAATAAAAAAGAAGTAACAATAATAAGAAGAAGATAACAAATAATTGAGTGTCAAGAAAAAGAATTTTAACCCCGAATTCTTCTTGGACAAAAACTGTAAAAGTTGAAAACCTGCTGAAGGAATCCGGCACTCTGATCTGCAGCCTGGGCAGATCGGTCACTGGCTGCATTTGCTGCATCCTTGCATGAATCAACCAACTGCTCTGTCTTGGCCTGCGTATAAAAACTTGTTAGTAATAATCTTGGGATGGAGAGTCCTACTAACGAGTCTTCAAGAATTCGTCCCAAATCAAGAATTCTCGTTTTCTTATACTTGATGATTGATAAGCTATCTCGAAAATAGAAACATATATCAGCTGTATATGACGATCTTAAATTAATGCAATAACCGTCTTATACATGTAATTGAGAGGATAGAAAACTCATCTAGCATCTTATATATCATCAGCAAGACAAATTCTTTTTCCAACAGAGGAAGAATAGTATAGCAGTTTTATGCCATGAACAAAAAGTAGAATAATACTACAATGTCTATGAATAGCCAATCATTACAAACAGGACAAGGCCATGAAATTTGCTGCAACAACGAGAAAAGAATGATAATTGCTAACACTTAAATGGAAGAGGTTCAATCACCTGAGTTCTGCCATGGGTTTCGCCTGCATTAAACTGTGTGCTCGACATTTTTCTTAAAGATGAAATGAAGTGACTAAATTGTTTGATATCTTTGTAAATAAAACCGAAAGTCTGCATTTTTGCTTGAATTAAGCTCTTGAATTTATAGTAGAACATGATTGCCTTTTGATGTATGAGGTAATGGCTCGTAGGAATAGCAGGTTGTTAGGTGTTGCATATTATGCTGCATTTGACCTGGACAATAGGCTTGTTTCATGTGGCTGTGGAACTTGAAGAATTTTCTTTTTTCGCCTTCTTTTTTCATCAATGAAGGGGTTTTCACTTTTCAAGAATTTTGCTGTTAGAAGGCAATAGAATTTAGCTTGAGATTTGGTAGCAAGAAGGTGGAGTTTAGTGGCATATTATTGGATGGTGGCGGTATAAGTGGCAAACAAACACATTTAACTAAATTTACCCATACTCACCCATGAATAAATGGGTATGCGTATCTTAAATTTTTGTATATGAGTATAAATGGATTATCCAATAATACTCATTTAATAAATGGGTATTATTGGGTAACCCATTAAACTTAATTAACGCATTTAAAATTGTCTTCCCCCAAACTTCTTTTCTTTCTCCACCCATTTTTTTTCAAATTTTTCATTTTATCATAATGTTAATTACTTTTGTTTAATTATTATTTTTTTTGATTTTATCTTATCATTTTATTTTCTTTTAGTTTGTTAATTTGTTTATTTTTCAGCATTACCAATTTATGATAAGTTTTAGTCTCTTTTCCTACCTTTCCAAAATGAAATTTTAAATTTATACACGAAAAAAATGCTAGGGTTTCAAAATTTTGGATTTAGTTTTTATGTTAATTTTTATAGTACTTAATTCAAATTTTTATATTCTTATTGTTCAATTATTAAATAGTATGTAATTTTGTGACATAGAGTACGGATGCGAAAAAAATTAGTAATTAGGCTTATTGAGCATTATAAATAAATATTTAAAACTAATGATGGGTGCAAAGGGTAGTATAAATTGATAACTTAGTTTGCAAAAATGAATTAAAATGAGTTTATAAAAAGATAAAATAAATGGCTTATAAATGGATAATTGGGTTACCCAATTCATTTTGGACTTACTCATTTATACCCATCTAATTAAATGGGTATAAATGAGTTGCCTTACTTATATCCATTACCCATTTTAACTAAGCCAAACCCGTCCAAGTCACTCATTTGACACCTCTAGTGGCAGGAAAGTTAGGAGAAGCAGTGGAAGATGTGACAGCCCCATCTCACCCTAGGGCGAACCCTAGGGTATCAGCGAACTGCCTGCCCAACTCTCGCCGGGGCTCAGTCGATCAAAGAACTAACAACTCAAAATAACTGGTGAAATAACTTCAAATCAAAGCGTACAAACCCTAATGGCATATAAACGTCAAGCCAACTTTCCAAACTTAAAATGGCAAGCTAAAAGTCACACTTACCACTCAATACTACAATTACATAACATAAGTCAAACTTATGAATTCAAGCTTACAAAAGTCAAAAGTAAAATCGTCTTAACAAAAAGGGTTACAAGTTCAAGCAAAATAAAGCTAAGAAAGCGCTCAACCGTTAGTCCATCCCTGATCTGTTAAGGAAAACAAAGGGAGTGGGGTGAGCTAAAATTCAGTGAGGTTCCAAGTAAAATCAGTAAACACATAACCAAATAAAGGCATAAAATAACCAAATAAACACCGCATAGTACAATGACCAATTTAATCACAGTTCAATTCAAGGATACGGGTGGCTTCCAAAAGCCAAAACCCCTTGAGCTTGATCATACCGTCAACGTTTGTATTTAAAGAATATACGGTCCGTAGAACACCACTTTCCACAATCCCCGTCCACCAATCAACTCCCTACAGGGCCCGCACGCCACAAATAGTATTTTGGTAATACTCGAGTATACCGATTTCCAGTGTTCAGTAAACAATCCCCAAGGTTTGCCGGCTTTCTCGACCAAGCCCTTGCTGGCTCGATACGTCCGACTCACCAATGGGGTTGGGTACCCAAACAGTAGCAGTGGTTGATGGGATATCACCCAAACAACTCAAACACAGTCATACATAGAGATATCACATCTCATAATAACAGTATACAGAGTTTCAGTGGAAAACAAGGGAGATCGAGTGCGATAAAGTACACACTCGCCTCCATTTTATCAAAACAGTATTTAGCTCCAACAGTTATCAGTCAAGTATTTCAAATATTCAGATATTTCACATAACAGGTAGCAGGTAGTGAAACACTAACCTGTCAAGCCAAGCAGTAGTTAAACGTCAAGTGTCTCGGTTACGACCACCTTCGTTTCCCACTGCTAGGGCAACGAGTGAAAACCGTTAACAATTAGATTCATTTCTCACTCAATCGTAGGCTCATTAAGAGACCAAGTGAGTGGTTAAAGTCACACAATTCATCATGCAAATTTGGCCCAAAATGCAGTAAAAGTTCATGAGAAAACAAGTTCAATAAGTACATGAAAGTTGGGCAAAAGAAAAGTTTCATTCTAGGTTAAATCGTTCTTCGCGCGTAAAACAGTCGCGCCCGCGCAGTCTTGGTAAAATGGTTATATCTCACTGTAGGAAGGTCGGAATTAGGTACCGTCAGCGGCGTTGGAAACTAGATTTGAAGAGCTTTCCAACGATATCAACTACACACTCTAGTTCATCTCCTATAAGTACCAGTAGCTTGGACAAATTGGCTATTTTTCCAACCCTGGATCAGCCCTAACCGCAAGCAAAACTACATTGGTTCTTGGTGCTATCTTCATTTGTTTTAGTCCAAATGCAACCAAATCAGTCCTCAAATGTTCATATAGAGGGGGTCACATCACCTAGGACCATTGGAGTTCAAAATATAACACATCAACATGAAATAAATAACCATAGCAGCCTAGCCTTCAAGAAAACCAAACCAGTCCACTATATAGACCAAACCACTACTTTCCTTACTCAAATTTCATTCCAATTCACACATGAGCTTAACCATTCTTTAGCCAAGTTTCTTAGGCATGATTAAGGTGTAAATAAACCACAAAAATCAAGATGAAACCCCTTCTTCTCATGCCGGTCAGCCAAGAGGATGAAAACAGTCCACAATTTTCTTTATTCATCTAACCTTCATCCTCAAATGATTTTCACTTAAACTGCATATCAAGTGTTAAATCTAACTCAAAAGAGGTTTAAAACATGTAAATACATCATAAACAACCATGAACAAAGGTTAGGCATTTCATCAAACACTTGGTAGGTATACTAGCAAGCTTAACTACTACTTGTTTAATTCAAGGAATTAACTCCAAATCTCAACCAAAACAACTTGTATTTCACCATGAAAACTTAAAGTAGATGATATAACATCAAAACCCCCAAATTTAAAGGTCATTTACCTCTCTTACAAGTTGCTTAGGTCACCAAACAATCCACCAAGATGGAAGCTTCAAGCTTGGATCAACCACTAGGAATGAAGGGAAGTTTCTCAACCCACTCAAGATCTTACTCTTTTGATTTTTGCTCTTGATTTACCAAGGTTAGAAAGCAAGGAAAATGGAGTTTCTCTCTTCCTCTCTAAGCTTCATGAATTTCGGCCAAGCTATGGGAAAGAAAGCTTCAAGATGGTTTAAATTATCTACTAACTCTTGGTCAAACAAGATCCATTGCTAGGGTTTTGCCACTTGTCCCCATACTTGTCCAATCCTCTCTTAATCTTTGACTAATGATATACTAACCTTTCCAAATGTACCAATAATTCTTTAACACCTCTAATCCTACATGTAAAGTCTCTACCACTAATATAAGGACACTTGGTAGAATATAAGTGGTAGAAAAATATAACTATCTCAAGAAAATTGATTTAATTGAAATAAGAGGAATAAAATGTAATGTATGGAAATTGTTATAACACATAAGGAATATAAATGTAAGGGCATATAATAAATGGTCTAGATCTTAGAATAAAGCATGTAGTTAAGGAAAATTTTGGTTTTTAAAGTGAGAGTTCTCACAGGAGACAGCCATCGCGCCAATCGATTGACGGTCATTCTAGATTTCTTATTTGGTTTTCTAATTTTTTTTATTTTTTGGTTTTGGACTTGAGAATTTTGGTTTAAATGTCTTTCATTAATTTTAACATTTCATAAGAGGTAGTTAAGATTTTTTTTTTGGTGGTTTATAAATACAATTAAGAAACATAACGATAGGTGCGTTTTTTGTTGGAAAACTTGAAAGTGACAATTATTGGATCGGAGATGAATTATGATGTCAAGAATGCGTTAGTCCAGTGGTTAAAATTGAGATTCCGTGAATCAGAAATGTTGGTTAAATTGCACCTCTCCCCAGTTGAAAGATGTTAAAAACAAAAGAGATGTATTATGAAATTTTCTATTGAGAGTTGTTTTTAGAATATTGGCATAAGATTATAAAGATCGGCAGTGGGCCGGATCCTAGCAAGAATTCTAGGAGATTTTTGTGAAACATGTATTTAATTTTAATCTAGTGTTTTTTTTTGTAATAAAGTATTTAATCCAGTCAGGAGTCTATAAATGTTAAGTATATGCAATGAAGAGAGATACATGGGACCTTATGGAATCGTCATAGGGGTGAGCATGAGTAGAATACCTACCCCGTGCACCATTTGACTGACCCACCCCACATCTTGCGGATCGGCAATTTTCTGAGTCTTATCTGCCCCGCATATCAGCGAGTATCCAATTACATAGAATCGGGTCAACGGATACCCATCTCAACCCGCTTATCATTTAATTTTTTTTTAAAAAAATGATCTATACTAATTTAATTTTATATTTTACACATTCATTTAAGATTTAATAAAGATTTCTTCACAAAAAAATTATCCCACCAAGAAACGAACATGCGAAGAGAATACAAGAAAAAGGAAAAAAATTAAAAGAATTCAAAATCAATAAAAATTTGAAATAAGTAGTACCCTTTTTTTAGATACATATTTCACATTAACTAAACTCTTTTCTAAAAAATATAAGATCATGATGTCTACAAATGAATCTTATAAACAAACTATAATCTCCCATATTTGTAATACAATTTGCTCAATAAAATTGCTTATTTAGGTCTAAAAATATTATTTTATAGTATGTGTATAAAAATTAAAAATAAATAAATAATATATATATGTAGCATAAGTCAAGTATTCGTGGATTTTCAATTATGTGATCCTAACCTGTCTGGAATCTAATCGGGTACTTGACCCTCTTTTAACGCGATCAAATAATACGAATCAGAAATCTTAATTTTCAAATCGAATTGGATTGGATATGGAAAGTTTTCGAGTTAACAAATATTTTTGCCCACCCCTATCTTGTGGCCCGTGGGTATGATACTTCTTATGCTTTTTTTTTTAATGCAATATTTCTTATATTTAGTTTGCAAATAAGCTCAATGGAGAAAATTTTGAGCCTAAAGTCGAAGTGTCCCTGCTTGGGTACAGGTATGGGATTCAAAATCCCTTGCCTACAATTTCCATCTAGGACTTCTAAAACATTTTCGGAGATAGTTTAGTACTTTTTCGAATTTTCAATAACTTAGTTAGGTCCATTCCCATTCCCCAATATAGCACCAATTATAAAACATTGTATTTTAAAAAAAGAAAAAAGTGTCCCAACCAAACACATGATCAAGGTAGTATCGAATTTCTGTCCAAGCAAGTACATCGGGTAGTTCAACGAGAATGGATTTGGAAATTATTTCCCGAAATCTTCAGTCCCGAGTAGGCCTATCAACGAGTCGAGTTCGGATCAAAATTGAAAATTTCGAATCCAGACCCGTTTTAATGTACTAGCCTCGGACCCAACTCGTATACTAGACGGGTCTTGTGCTTAAGATTCCAGAACCAGATTCGACGGGTCTCAGGTCGAGTCCCCATCTATCTGGAAAGAAAATGTCCAACACGTATCATCCATTTTCTTTTATTCATGTTAGCAAAACGGCCTAACATGATTAGAGGTGGCAATCGGATCCAAATCGGGTTGGTGGGTCGGGTTGAGACCCAGGTATAACAGAAAATCCGTTGATCTGAACCTGACCCGCCAACCCGAAACGGGTCAGGATAATTGACTCGAACCCAAAAATTTCGGGTTGGTGGGTCGACTCGAATGAGTCGAAACTTAATTTTAATTTATTAATTTACCAATGTAATTTCTAATAAAACTAATTTCGCACAAGACTAATTACATAATCAAGTAATAAAAATTTAAATAAATAATCCCAAACCAAATCTAAAATAAATTAAAACACCGTAAAAGTGTTTTATTCCAAACCAAATATAAATAAATTAAAATAGTATAAAAGTATAAAAGTAAAAAATAATATAATACATTATTTGTCCAAATATAATAATTTCAACTTCACACAAGTTAAATAAATTCATTTAGGATTAAGCGATTAATGCCTTTGGAAAAAAAAGAATAACATAGTTTAATTAAATAAAATAATTTTTATGTTCATTAAATTATTTTTAATTCGTAAACGGGTTATCGGGTCACCCACGGGTTGAATCGAATTCGACCCGTTTTCTTTTCGGGTTCATCGGGTTCGACCCGAACCCGCGAAATCTCAACCCAAACCCATTAATTTCGTGTTAGATTCGTGTCGTGTTTTCAGTTGCCACCCCTAAACATGATCTCAAAATATTTGACAAAAAGCACTTATATTCAACTTGTGATAAACACATTTCTGGTCAAGCAAGTTTGCCTTTACCAAATCCTAATTTCTTAGATGTTTCATCAAGGATACGGGTAATTTGGTTAATTTGGTAAAAGAATACTTTTGTTAATTTAGTAAAAGAATATATTTAGAAATATTTATATTTTATAATTATTAATGTATTGTTTGGATCCGAGTCGGATACGGGTTGGAATCCTATATTTCGTATTCAACCCGCTTTTTTTTAGAGTAGACGAGTACTGGTTTAGATCTGGGTACCGGAATTATTTGTCAACCCATACCCAGAAAAATTTACCAGAACCGGGCCAAATTCGGTTTTGACAGCCCTAGTCCCGAGTCCTTGACACAAATTCTGTGAATAAAAAAGGTGAATTAATCTAAGATGCGTGCAAGTTAGATAGAAAGCATATTATATAGCAATGACAATGAAAGGGTAAATAGATAATATTAGTAGTCAATATTAACTACTACAGATCTCCATTTTGCAAACCTAGCTGTAATTTCAAAATGTTGGACTTCGGTTCTGTAACTAGTTTTCTTGTGGAAAACCTGTTTTGGAATCTTAACAAGAAGTCAGAAAAAAGACCAAATTGTCTCATTTTCTTCATGAATTCTATATATCTTTTATTATGGTCAATACTACCTTGTTACACTTGAAAGAGAGTTCTATGTATCAAGAGACTCTTCAGATCAATGGAAAATTAACATCCTTCCAACTCTAAATAAGCTAGAAACTGAAGCAAATCCTAAGCTAACCTAAAAATCATCAAAATGGTATAAACTCCACACTAGCAACAAATTGCTAAAAGCTCTTATTACATCATCTGAGAAATCCCTAAAAAGAAACCCCTACTTATGATTTCCTTATACCATTCGAGTATAGGAAACTCCTAATTATTGGAAATGACCAACAAATAAATCAACCAAGTCATGATTCTCACGAATGACGTGTTTCTTTCACTTCTTAGTGTTGTTGTCACCAACTCCAAGTGTGTTCTTCACACCATCAATAGCTCCCTGAGCCATGCTCTTCACTTGCTCGCCAGTCTGAAATAAAAAAGAAGTAACAATAATAAGAAGAAGATAACAAATAATTGAGTGTCAAGAAAAAGAATTTTAACCCCGAATTCTTCTTGGACAAAAACTGTAAAAGTTGAAAACCTGCTGAAGGAATCCGGCACTCTGATCTGCAGCCTGGGCAGATCGGTCACGAGCTGCATTTGCTGCATCCTTGCATGAATCAACCAACTGCTCTGTCTTGGCCTGCGTATAAAAACTTGTTAGTAATAATCTTGGGATGGAGAGTCCTACTAACGAGTCTTCAAGAATTCGTCCCAAATCAAGAATTCTCGTTTTCTTATACTTGATGATTGATAAGCTATCTCGAAAATAGAAACATATATCAGCTGTATATGATGATCTTAAATTAATGCAATAGCCGTCTTATACATGTAATTGAGAGGATAGAAAACTCATCTAGCATCTTATATATCATCAGCAAGACAAATTCTTTTTCCAACAGAGGAAGAATAGTACAGCAGTTTTATGCCATGAACAAAAAGTAGAATAATACTACAATGTCTATGGATAGCCAATCATTACAAACAGGACAAGGCCATGAAATTTGCTGCAACAACGAGAAAAGAATGATAATTGCTAACACTTAAATGGAAGAGGTTCAATCACCTGAGTTCTGCCATGGGTTTCGCCTGCATTAAACTGTGTGCTCGACATTTTTCTTAAAGATGAAATGAAGTGACTAAATCGTTTGATATCTTTGTAAATAAAACCGCAAGTTCTGCATTTTTGCTTGAATTAAGCTCTTGAATTTATAGTAGAACATGATTGCCTTTTGATGTATGAGGTAATGGCACGTAGGAATAGCAGGTTGTTAGGTTTTGCGTATTATGCTGCATTTGACCTGGACAATAGGCTTGTTTCACG